AAACCCTAGCCGCTACTCACCCCCCCCCAAACTCCAAAAGTTTTACACCCTCACTTTCCTCTTACTCTCCTCTACCCATTTAATGACCCAATGTCACTAATTACCTCTCAACTCTGACCACACCGTCCGGCTACCCCTACTGCCATCCAACCGCCGCCAAACCACCGATCTCTGTTTCTATCCTATTTTTCGACTTTTAAATACTCATTTTTCTTTTGCATGATGCTAGAACTCCTTGGGTTCATCATGTGCCAGAAAGAAACGATTGTTTCAAGGCCGGAAAACCACCACTTGGTATCTTCGGCGTCTTTTGGTGGCTCGAGTTAGCAACGACTTCCCTCGTGTGGTATACCCCTATCCTTATTTTCTTTGTTTATTTTTCTGTTTCATTGAAGTTAGTTTAGGCCTAGGTTTACATTAAAGTTTTCTTTTCTGTTTGTTCCTTATTCGTGATGATATTCTGTTAGTTGTGTATTTTATTTTGATACAATATTTTATATGTTTTTGCCTAAAATAATAGTTCAATTGCTCAATGAATCTTGTTTAGTTCTTGTTTGCAATTTTAGTATCTTGATATGTAGTCTAATTTTCTGATTAGCTATTGATTGCTCTGTTAAATAATCTAAAACAGTCATTAAGTTAGTATGGTTAATTTTCATTATTGTTTGCTTGTCGTTTGTTAGTTTTGTTTGAATCAGTGATGTTAGTCGTCACTTGGTGATTCTTGAATATAGTTTTAGTTTAGTCATTGTGTGATGTAGTTGAATAATCGTTATGTCTCCGGACATTAACTGAAATCTCTGTCTCTGGACATTAATTGAAAACCCAGACCCTTATTCCCCACTTCTTTAATTTTTGATTTTGATAGCAATTAGGATTAAGGTTTATTTTTTGAAGTGTTTGTATTTGAGCTTTAGTAATGACGGTTTAGTAGCTCGCTAATTTTTCATTCACATGTTAGTTTATAGCTTGAAATCTACTGAGCAAAGTATGAGTTTGGTTGGTTAACTCAATTGTTTACTAGATTTGAGCTTAATTAGCTTTTAGTTTGTTCTTGAGATTTAATCTGATCGATACTTATGTGGTTCTTCTTAACTATTTTAGTTTATAGTATAATTAGTTTTGTTTAACCAAATCTTGTTTTAGGTTCTGATCTTTATTTTTTCAGCCCTATGATTTATTTTAAGTTGATTCGCTTGTGTTTGGTTTGAAGATGTTGGGCTGAAGATGTTATTGGGCTAAGGCAGCCCGTAGCTTAGTCTTTGCCTCTTTTTGGCCCAGTCTAGCACCTGTTTTGGCTTTCATTAATCCAAGAACAACTGAAGCAAGGTTAGTCGGGGAAAGATTGAGTAGGGTGCATAGTTGGTTGCTTTTACTGTTTTAAGTATGCTAGAAAATACAACTATTTTACTTTGTGTTAGCATTTGTTAAAAAGAGGTCTGTCCTTTCCCCTATTGGACAACCCTTAAACAGTGTTTGTGTCACGACCCCTATCACCCTATGTAGGAAGTCGTGACGGCACCTAGTCTATAAGACTAGGTAAGCCTAATATACATAAAGAATTTAGCGGAAATAGCAATAAAACTTCTGACGAGCTCGCAACACACACTTAAATTATGCTCGCTAGTCAAAGATAGTATAGTATAATATCGTATCCACATGGATTGGAGTTAAACATTATTTTCGTAGTTTCTAGCTTGATTGCTATCCAGGAGAATCAAAAATTGAGATTTATATGATTAATAACTAAAATTAACTAAGAATCTAAAGCTATTGACTAATGATTATCGCAACAAAGGTAATCAAGGAAGTTATCAGTGAGAGAAAAATAGGGGTTGATAGGATAGTTGCAAGATAATTGTTTGGAATCTAACTCTAGATAATTCACTTCTAATATTTAAGTGAGTCTCTCGAATTTACTCAATTATTAGTTCAAATGTTTAGCAGAAACTCCTCTCTTGATTAACTCTCAACCTCACAAGATGAACCAATTTAAGCACGTGAAGATATGCAAGAATACGTAGTGGATTGATCTTTAGGAAAATCTCTTTCGATTATTCTCCTAACTAGGTTTAATTAATGATTAAACTAGCCTCTTTCGATTACTAAGAAGAATTAATGAACTTAACCAACAAGATAATGTAAAGATATCACAAGTTATGCCTCTCTCGATTACATGAACTAGTGAATATAGATGCAATAATTAAATCATCCAAAAATACTTCAATACATAAAACTAGAGTTATAATCCACAAACAATCATCAATACACCAAATTCATCAAACCCTAAAGAGAACTACTCCATAGATATGGAGCAATTCATTATCAAATATAATTAAATTATAGAAAAACATAAATTCGATCCAAACTCTGGTCTTGAGTGAGGAATGAATGATGAAATCCTTGTGCTTTTGCTCCTCCAACTCCTCCTTAGCTTCCTTAGGTCTAAAGTGTGCCAAAAGTCCAGAAAATAAAGTCTTCCATTTATTTATACCAAGTAGGGTCGAGCCCAAACGAAATCACCCTTTCCTAGCCGAAATAGGAAAACATGCAAACTTAATGCTTTTCATTTGTTGCACTATGCTACGCCCAGTGCGTCGCATTAATGCAATTTTCACGGTCGTAAACTCTCTGAAGTTAGCTTGTCTGAAAGAATTTTGTACTGATGCTACACACTATGCCACTCACTATGCCTAGCATTAGTGTATTTTTCTATCAGACCTCAGAAACCCATCCTCTGAACTTTTGTCAATCTTCTGACATAAATCTACCCTACTGCATCGCACTATGCATCGCCCAATGCATCGCACTAGTGCATTTCTTCAATTGTTGCTTCTTCTTTGATTTTTGACGTCCAAAAGTGATCCTCGACCCCCGAACACGATCCCGGCTTAATCCTTTGGGCTTTTAATCAGGCTTCAAAGCTCCAAATAGCTCGAATTAGTTCCACAATATCTACATAACTCGGAATCCTTCCTACACGGCATGAAATACGCAATAAATACAAAATACTACCAATTAAATCTTAACACAAGTAAAGTGTAGTGAATTAGAGTGCAATAAGCGACTAAAACACGAGATTATAGCCTATCATCTATACCCTACACTTAACCATTGCTCGTCCTCGAGCAATCAAACTACACTTCATATAGACATGACCTTTTTTCAACAACTCTCATAACTTATCAGACCAAGAATATTTAAAATAGATTAAGCACAATACTATAACATCCTCGCATCAAGATTTGATTCAAATGCACCACGCATTATTTATAACCCGCTCACTTACTCTAACATAGAGGTCTCATGAATTAAGTGCCCTCACACAACAATAGAGAGCAGTTCCATACACAATAAAATTTAAGAACAATTAGGAACTCAAGATAGAAAGAATTCACTCACTCTCAGCAACAACATTCATATGCCACAAAAGATGTACCATAGGCTAGCCCGTAGTGTACTACTCTACTAATTGAGCTCATTCAGTCAAGGATCAAGTAGGACTTTCATTGGTTGTAATGTTGGCTGCGGGACAGGTAAGATACATTTAGATATAAGAGTGACTACACTTCCCTAAGCACTTTAATACATACATTTTATTGTTCAAAACCCCACACTTATGTAAAACCAAAACTGCACCTTCACATCAATATACATTAACTCCCTACTTTTTAAAGCATAATTACATCAAGTTACCACTATCAAAGAACACTTTTCACAATCATACACTTATTTTTTTCTTTCTTTTTCAATTCAAGTGGCTCTTACTTTTTCAAAATAATGCACCTTTGTCCTTATTTCAATAATTCCACTCAAAAGCCAAACCAACCACCCCACACTTCAACTTTTATAAAGTTCATAACAAATTCAAGTGCTCACGAGAGGTAAAAGGTTCAAATAGATGGTCAATTCAAACAAATGGGTAAGGCTTGTAACGTAGTTGCCAAAGAAAAAGGATTACAGGCTCAAAAAGGTTAACTAAGATACATAACAATTAGGTGGGTAAAAGCATATAACTGGCTCAACAAAGAAATGCCTATATCACTTCCAAGACTGAAAACAACTACTATTTCGCTTTGCAAACACATGGGGAAGGTTATAGAAAATAAACGCAATGCACCGAATAACGTAAAACCTTACACACATATGACACATAACTCACTCAAGATTGGATTGTCAAGACACTCTAGCCAAAGCAGTTAAGAAAAGTTAAGATCATACAATTTAAGGTACTTATACAAGAGTAAAAAACTAAGCCTAAGCGTCACAACTAAAACACTCACTATTCTCAAGGCATAATAAAGTCAAGAGACATTGCTTTCAATTCAAATTATAGCACAAGGTTTCCTACTCCTAACAAAATAAATAACTACACCCGGTTCAAACAAAAACTCTTGGAAAATAACCACGACATAAAGAAAAACCAAGGGAGAATTATTACACTACCTAAGAAAGGAAAATATTTTTGTCTTTTTCTTTTGATTTTAATCCCTCAAGAAACCTGTCGAATGATATACATCGTCGGGAAAAATTGATTTTTTTCAATTTTTATGATTTTTTCAATCTCTAACTACTACAACTAACAAAAAGAAAAACATATACAAACATAGATACAAATATCCCCATCCCACACTTTAAGTTGTGGCATGTCCCCATGACACACAATTAAAAAACATATGGTAAAGAAAACTTCCCTGAATATCTAGTCGGGGTCTGAGTCAAAATAGGGCTCCATTCCTCGCCTTCAGACTAATGCGCACATCCATGCCGAAAGCTTCTTCTAAGCCTTTTTGGGGTACACCCTACACTTATCTTTCTCACTCAGTGCAACCTTCTCTTTTGAGCCCTTCACTTTCCACTCAACATTCGCAGCCAGTTTTTCTTTTTGTGCCCCCGTTTCTACATTCATATCAAAAGTCACTGTCTCCTCACCCACTCTAAGCATGGGTTTCCTATCATGTATATCCAATATTGCTTTACCCGTTGCTAAGAATATTCTTCCTAGGATGAGAGGGACCTCCTTGTTCTCCTCCATATTCAATACTATAAAGTCCACCGGAAATACGAACTTATCCACCCGAACTAACACATCTTCCACTATCCCCTCGGGTTTTATAGTCATTTAGTCTGCCAGCTGCAAAGATATTGGCACCGACATTATCTCTCTAATCTCCATCTCCAGTTTCCTGTAAATAGATAGAGGCACTAAATTAATTGAGGCACCAGAATCACATAATAATTTATTAAAATGAATAGTTCCTACAGAGTAAGGTGTAGTAAAACTCCCTGGATCTCAATACTTTTGTGGGAGTTTGTTTTGCAATATCGCACTACAATGCTTTGTGAGCTTGACCACTGAGGTCTCCTCGATCTTCCTCTGCTTTGTAAGGATCTCCTTCAAGAATTTGGCATAACCAGACATTTGTGAGAGAACTTCTGTAAATGGTAAGTTTACATTAACCTGTTTCAGCACATCCAAAAATCTCTTAAATTGTTTGTCCATCTTTTCTCTATATATAGCTTTTGGGCAAAAGTTAAAGCAGGCATATGCTCGCTCTTCTCAGTTTCCTCCCTTCTCGATTTTTCTTCCTTCTTCTTCTTCTCAGTTTTCATCGGGGCCTTCTTCTTTTTATCAACATCATTCTTCAGTTGCTCCCCACTTTATTTTTCAAGTATCACCTCTTTTTGGATCGGGGTGGGATCTTTCAACACTTTCCCACTTCTCAGAGTTACAACATTCACTGTTTCTTTGGGATTCTTTTCAGTGTCAGCGGGGAGAGTGCTTGGAACCCTCTCAGATAATATTATTGCAATCTTTCCCACTTGTCTCTCCAGGTTTTGCAAACCAGTGCCCAATTATTTCTTAGCTTCTCCATGAGTGTCCAACCTCTCATCTGTCTTGATAATGAAAGCCTTCATTAGATCCTCTAGACCAGGCGGGATGGGCTGTTGAGGCTGAAATTGCTGCCTCTACTGATTTTGGTATGCTGGAGCTCCTTGTCCCTGCGGTCTAGAGTTATTTTGCTGCCAAGCATTCGCAGTACCTCCAGGTGAACTCCATGAAACAACTGGGTGCCTCTGACCCATTGCATTGAAATTGTAGTTTCCCACAACATTTACTTCCTCATTTGAAGCTTGACACTCATGAATAGGATGTCCTCTTCCAAATATATCATAAGTACCGTGAGGCTTACTTTGTATCGAGGCTAAGGCCAGCTTTCTTATCTCTTTGGCCATAGCATCAACCTGGTGAACACCAGTTGATCTTCTTCTTTCCGCACTCTTAGAGGGCCATTGATTAGCATCTTCAGATAACTCATCAAGAATTG